GCAACAGTGAGACAGGAAATTACAGGAAAAAAGAGGAGGGTGGTGGGTGGCAAGACGGTAACCACTGTTCTCCAAAATGTCATGCAGGAATGCAAATTTTAGTTTCACAGAAAAACATATATATACACAATAAATGCATTATAGCTATCAAAAGCTTTAATTGTAATATAAGTAAATAGTAGGAAAAAGCACCTAGGCTCATATAAAGTGTGGCCCTAGAGAATGGAATACAATTAATACAATTCAGATGAAACTTAATAATATCATTTTAGTCTTTAATGAAGATTGCTCTTTTTCAGTTTCCAATATAATCTGATATGATGCAATAATGAACAAGTGATCAGTAGATATGTTGACCAATTGAAAAAATAATTTATTGAACTAATTCCGAAAGTGCTGAATCTGATTTCAAGTGTATCTGATCTGAGTATTTTCCCCAAATTCAGACTAGTCAAATAATCTCTTGACCACTGGGCTTTATGATAGGCTGAGAGTCAAACCACACCCTTAACCAAATGTTCCAGTTCCACTGCTATTGTACTGTTTTTGCTCGAGTCTCATTCTGCTCATTCGATTTTTTTCCCTTGATTACACATATTGTGCACATATATTACTTGCAAAATTTTGAGCACTTTACGGGCATTTGCAGTCAGCTTGAGGTTTCCTGCTACGTTACTGATGTCACAAAGATTTTTCCAGAACTCACTCAAGTATAAAGAGACAGGGGGGATACCTCCACAGTTATTACATGACACAATGATTATCACACTTATTAGAATCTTGATATATATCCCGCTAGGATTGGGTAAGTACCAGCTGAGCTTCAAATGTGTGTTGCTTTTCAGGAACATGGATAGTCTAGATGGTAACAGCTTTACCTCTGTATAGCAACACTGCTTGAATACTAAAGTATATTTTATTAATAATTACTTTTTTATGAAGAATTGATCTATTATCTCTTGTTCTATGACTGTTAAGGTGATTATTTTAATATGCAGCAAAACTGAAGTAAAGTGGGTCAAACTTTGACCTAAATGTAGCTACAACTTCCAACATGATCCGGATCCTCATTTTCAGACAGAATTCTTGGAATATTAGTATATATGTGTATATTATATTAGTTTAATGTGAACCTTGAAGTACTTTTGTCATAGCTGTTCATTCAGATGAAAACTTTAAACTTTTCTGTACTTAACATTTGTGGTCCACCCAAACAGAACGAAAAAAATAGAAGGTAGTGAGTATTTGGGTTGCATCTGATGATCTTTTGTTTTGTTTCCAGCTCTGCGTGTGTCTCAGCCTTATCGTGTGGTTGGGAAAGAGGGAGAAGTCCCTCTCCGCTGCTCCTTCAGTTCAAAGTTAAAGCCTGAGGAAATGCAGGTATCTCTATACAAAGGTTTGCACGGCCGTGAGAGTCTCTGTAGCGCTTATGTCAACCTCTCTGAGCCCTACTTCACAACAGATGGCACAGTTAATTGCAGAGGGAATATTAGCTCTGGAAGAGTGGACATGATCATCTCTGGACTGCGAGGGAACGACACAGACATCTATCGCTGTGAGATTGAGATTCTCTTCCCACCTCCGTATCTCAGAACGATTGGGAACGGCACTGTTGTTTACATACAAGGTAAGCGATAGCCTAGTCTTGTTTTCAGTCTCTTGCATGTGGTTTCCCCATAGTTTCGCCTTTTTTGTACAGTTGTTAATGTATAGATGATCTACAAACACTATTGTGCTTTTGTATTAATAGCTATTACTAATAACAATTATTGAAATAACAAACAAGCAATGCATTTGAGAAGATAGCCATAATGTAATCACTTAAATGAAATACTGTATGTCATCATACATTTTTTTTTTATCCCAGTAACATTCTTTTAATAGCAAATTTGAATATAGTGTTCACGACACTTAGCCGTAGTTCATTGTTAAAGCGCTAGAGAGAGCCAGATTATAAAACAGTGAACAAGGAAATGTTGTTGTCACCTGAGGTCAAGTGGGTGGAAATGGGGCCTCCCCGGCACATTCAACTTTACAGCGCTTACTGCTCTACATTTTGATATTACCAGTGGAAACTTTGACTTTACACGAGAATGATGTTTTTCTTTGAAAATGTAGATTTCTTTATGACGCAAGTGTGCTAACGTAAGCGCTTAAAAAGACAAAAGAACTGAAAAAAACAATCATCAAAAGATGAGAAGGTTAGCCGTTAAAGACCGCCAGCTTCCTGTTGTCAAAAAGGTGGAGGCCTCATCCACTAAATTTTGATCGTTGTTAAAAATGAAAATGACAAAATAGCCCAAGTTTTCAGTGAAAGTAATACTGGGTGGGCGTAGCGTAGGGTGCAATGAGAGCAACTTTAGTAATAACTAAATCTTTTATCTTCTTTTATAGAAACTCCAAACTGCCCCACTGCATCCACCCAGAGCCAGAGCCAGAGCCAGACTTCAGAGCGGGAAGCTGTCAAAAATGATGTAGACCCACTTCCTCTGCTATATGCCATCCTAATCATCACTTCCTGCAGTTTAATTCTACAGGTGAGAAACATGTCTATTCTAATGATTTTCCTTAACAGACTGCCCCGCTGAAAAGATTAGCATGGCGGGTCATGCTGTACTGAATTTGTGAATAGATTTACTCAAGTTTAGACTTTGACAATAATGTGAACAAATGTCACTCAGATGTCACTCATCTCTATTACACAGATGATCGCCTGCAAATGGAGGGCCTCTACAGCCACGGCGCCTATGCTTTCACAAAAAGAGAGCTATATGAAATTCTAAGGGGGTAATATCTCCGTTTGCATGTACTCACATGTCATTTTCTCCTGCATGTATTTTCATGTAATTTTAACCTGCATATATTGACATGTGCTCACTGTATTTTTCAATTACATGTACTCACATGAATTCTCACTTGCATGTATTCACATGTATTTACACAACATTTGACCACTGTCTTTGTTATTTCGTATTCTTTACATTTTATTAGAATGAAATAAACATATTTACATTTAACCCTTGTGCCGTACTGAAAATCCTGTCACGAGTTTGCCTGCCCATCCAGTCCTGATTGACCCATTGCGGTACTACATAGAGGGAGAAACTCAAAAACTTCTGCTTATATGGGTTCATAATGATGATTGACAGGACTGAATGATTATAGGCTCTTCCCGAACATACGTTTGGAACTTTATTTACCTCATTTTAAAAATTGCTTGTAAATTTCCCATTATGCTTGATTATCACCAAATATTGGATTCAATCTTTTTGTTAACTTGTTTTCATACAGTTAGCACAGGTTTTCTTGGAGGTTTTCTGAATGATCGCAGGCTTGATCTAAGCTTATGCACCTCAGTTTTTGAGTGAACATTGCCAGAATTATCTACAAATAATGCTTTCTTTTTTTCAGTCAAAAAATGGAGGTGGTAATGGAGGTATAAGTCACTTTATGACATGATATGACCCTTATAGAAAAAGACTAGATACTGTATTAAAAGCAAAAGATTTCCCCCCCTTTTTCTATTTGTTTGCTATTTGTATTGGAAAAAAAGATTTAAGAGATGATTTAAATTGGATTAATTTTTTTACATCACAAAAACCTGCAATGACCCTCCTCGAGTACCAAAGTGAGTCATATGATGGAGTCAAATAATGCAACAGATCGTAATGACTTTTTATCAATAAAAACAAGTCAAGCTTGTGTCATCCATCAGTATCAATCTTTCTTATCACCAAGACATGAAGAAGAAAAAAGTGACAAAGTCATCACAAATGTTTTTGTTTTGAGAACCTCAGCTATCCATCACAAAAACAGGACATGATTCTACCTGATAACTTGCTGTGCTTTCATATTTGTGATGCTTCAACAGGATGTGGAACCGAAAAAAGCCTGGTTTACATTGTATACGTCTGAATCACAAACAACTGTGGCCACAACTAGGACAGGTTAACTTAAACTTTAACTTTAATCAGCACTCCTTCATTTATTTGCCTAATTGGTAGTGAAGAAAATAAAAAATGTATATGTGACCCTGGACCACAAAACATTTTTCGAAATTGAGATTTATCCATCATCTGAAAGCTGAATAAATAAGCTTTCTGTTGATGTATGGTTTGTTAGGATAGAACAATATTTGGCCGAGATACAACTATTTGAAAATCTGGAATCTGAGGGTGCAAAAAAAATCTAAATATTGATAAAATCACCTTTAAAGTTGTCCAAATGAAGTTCTTAGCAATGCATATTACTAATCAAAAATTAAGTTTTAATATATTTACAGTAGGACATTTCTCCAAATATCTTCATGGAACATGATCTTTACTTAATATCCTAATGATTTTTGGCATAAAAGAAAAATCTATTATTTTGACCCATACAGTGTATTGTTGGCTTTTGCTACAAATATACCCAAGCGACTTAAGACTGGTTTTGTGGTCCAGGGTCACACATGTAAATAATGTGTCTATATGCTGGCTAATGTAAAACCACAGTTACCCACAATTTTACATAGCTGAACATTTATCATAACTATCGTGAACAAAATTAGAATACTGTATCTGACTTTTTTATTCTTACGAAACTAAACTGCATATGAAAGTAAGTGGATCAGAATTACTTTATTGCTCATTAAGTAAGATATGGGTTTTTCCTAACATGGCTGTACATCAAACATTTTCCTTTCAACAACTTAATATTACAAGAAAGCTGCCCACTCACTTCCTCACCGTCAGACATGTGCCTAAGCTGGGACACCTTAAGAAAAGAGATCAAAACTCAAATTGTATCACAAATTATGATTCACTTTACAATAATGAATTGTTTATCAAGTGTGTTAAATGTTGCTGTCTTCTCTTAATCAATTTCTCACATCATACTGAGCAACAAATATGATGTCTGTGGGTGATATTAATTGTCCAACCCACATACTTCCTGTGTTTTCTCACTCCAGCAAAAACAAACTGAAGAGCTTCGGCCAGCATCACACTGTCAAACTGACGAGGATACGTTAACATGCCTGACAGGTTCACTCTGCTTACTTTCAGCTTTTGTTTCATACTTCACAATGGTAAGAGGCTAACCTTTTTAATGCTGTTGTCAGTTACTGGTCTGTGTACATTCACACCAAACAAGCTGATTAAAACAGATGACACTAATTTAGACCAGCTTAAATTCCTAGATGGTCTGGTCTTGGCACCGGTTTTAGATTGGCAATAATGGTTTCTTACTGGCACAGTAAATTACACTGGTAACCAGCAATAAGTTGGTTTTAACTGGTCATTTTTATGGTAAATTTAGCTCAACATGTTTAAGTCAACAGTAAAAATCAGTGTATTAAAATAAAACACTGCATTAATCAGAATTATATAAATGCCCTGATTGCCAAAACCAGATTAAACAAATATTCTGGTTTGCGGAGACAGTTGTCATATGCCTATATTCACTTTGAGTCCTGTAAAGTATCATGAATATAACTGAATATTCATTTATTTACATTGTTGTGTACAATTTTAATGACGTGAATGAGAATAAGCTGATTAAATTACTGTTCAAAAGTACTAAATGCATCATAATAAATAGCAAGAAAGAACAGAATATCAGGAAAATAATGTGCATGTCTCATGCTTATTTAGATTAAGCTGATTATACATTTCAGGAATATGTATATATTCAGGAAGATTCATATAACTGGTATTTTCAAAATAAAGACTTAAACAATTGTGTGCATATAAACATGGTCAACGTCAAACTGTAAAATCGAAATATAAAACATTTGATCTATAAATTAACTAAACTGATTTTCTTCTTTGTCACCTCAGTTTGTAGTTGGAACGTGAGTGAACCTCTCAACCACACATTCAATGACGACGACTCGGTCAGTGTCACATGCATGTTTAATGGAGAGGAAAAGTTTGAATTAGAAGCTAAGTTGAAAATGAATGATAAATATGTTTGTGAGGTTTATAACAAAAGCCAAGAACAGGGCACGCATAAACATGACTGTACATGGCAGCATAAGGACAACAAATTCACGTTCACCTTAATGAAACCTGAGGGCTTACACAAAAATACATTTTCCTGTGAGATATCCAAAATTAAACCATTTCCAGTCAAAATTCAAGAAGGACCAAAAACAAAGCTTTTCCGAGGTAAGTTCACCCAGTGTAAACAACACAGTACATCAGTTTTATATACCCAGAAATGCATGCAAGGAATGTGGAATATTTCAGATTTAGTTCGAAAGTAGCTTTTTTTTTTTTAAATCAATAACCTTTATACAATTTTTTTTTAAAGGTTGCAATAAGTCTTTGGCTCCACCGAAGAACAGTTGTCCATTCACTAACCAAACAAATAACCAGGATCACAGACCTGTAGAAAGTCACACACCTGAAGAAATGTATACCCTATTAATCTGTGGTCTGATAATAGTGGTGGTAATGCTGTCTGTCTACAGCATTATTCTTACGGCAGTCTACATAAGATTGAGGGTAAAACTTATTTACTAACTTTTTATTTTATGTTTGTGTTGTTTTATACTGTCTAGATGGAGAGGCTGTGCTATATTGTGAGTATACTGCAGTCACTGTGCTGTTATTATGCACAACGGATTGACTATATTCACACTACATACAGCATTGCCTCAAGGACCTTACTGCTTTTATAAAACAATCACCACTTAATAAATAATAACTTAATGCTGTTTTGCGCTTTCCATGCTGTTTTCCCCCGTCTTTTATGTGCAAGCACTACTTCTTAGCATTAGCATCTGCTGTTTATTGGGAATTTAATAAAATTGTCAGCTTTACTTAGTATCTTTGAAAACATTTTGTAAGGAATAGTTAACCCAAAAATTAAAAATTTCACCCTCAGGCCATTCAAGATGTAAATGAGTTTGTTTCTTCATCAGAACAGATTTGGAGAAATTTAGCATAATATCACATGCTCACCAATGAATGGGTGCCATCGGAATGAAAGTCCAAACAGCTGATAAAAACATCACAAGTAATCAACATGACTCCAGTCCCTCAGTTAATGTCTCGTGAAGTGAGAAGCTGTGTGTTTGGAAAAAAAAAAAGGAAAAAAAAAATCCATAATTTTTAACTTCAAACAGTTGCTTTCAGCTAAAGTAGTCCTCTATCCATAGTATTGCTTGCCCTATTTCTCTCAATCAGAGGAGAAATATGCACAGATCAAGCTCCGCAAAGTTATTATGGATTATTTTGGCCAGTAGAAAGAGTTTAAAGTTAAACACCTCAATGATGGATTTGTTTCTTACAAACACACAGCTTCATAAAACATTCATTGATGGACTGAAGTCGTGTGGATTACTTGTGGGTTATTGTGACATTTCTATCAGCTGTTTGGACTCTCATTCTGACGGCACCCATTCACTGCAGAGGATCAATTGGCGAACAAACGATGTAATGCTAAATTTCTCCAAATCTGTTCTGATGAAAAAACAAACTCATCTACAATTTGGCTGGCCTGAGGGTGAGTACATTTTCAGCTAATTTTCTTTTGAACCTTTTTTTTTTTTTCTCTATAAGTATAGATAAAGCTGAATGGAATCACAATGTAATATAGGCATCAAATATGTTTGATTATTCTAAATCTAATACAATTACATTGATATCCTGCAGTTGAGCTGATATGCATTTATACAGTATATTGTGCTGTATTTGTCTTCCTCTCCAGGCCACAAAGCCTGAGTCTTCTGACACACTGACCTATGTCCCAATGCAGGTAAGTTCTTTCCTCTGTTGTGCCAACACTGTATTTGTGCCAGTAATGCAATATGCCTGTGGCCGTCTGGTACACCAGTTCTTCAAATGATTTTACTGTTTCAGAGGAATGTAAACCGGCGTGATCTAGACAACACCGAATATGTGGACATGCGTGAAGTGCAGAAACGGGGAGGATCCCACAGAGATATGAACCACAACTCTCATCTTGCTATTGCCTGAGCCCATTTCTGGCATAAGTGAGCTCATGCTTTAACTGCTCTAGGACTTACTGCTGGATGAATTTTACTTAGGCTACACTAAAGAATATCACAGGACAAAACTATTGCCTTTCTACCAAACAAAACAGACTTTCCTGAATGCCTGAATCTGCATATTGCGGCTGCACTGCATACATTACGCAGTCTTGATGTTCTCTGTGTCAGATGGTTTCATCTGGTGGCTTGTACAACCTAATGCTGAATTGTAGATATGCCAAGCTAAATGTATATGAAGTATTTAGCTTGGGAATTTTTTAATTATTATTTTGATCCCATGGACCCCCCCCCCCAAAAAAATTATAACGTTTTTTTCTAACAATAAATATATAAAACAGAGACTATATTGAATGATTATTTAAATTTGCTGATTATATGGTGAAGTAAATAAAGGAAAACACAGTAACATAAGATCTCATAAATGTGGTATGTAGATGTGAATGGCTTAGCCATGTTATCGATTTAGGAAGGAAATTATTAACAACCAGTCACCACCAGTGTGATCAACACAGTATCATAAAAACTGTAACATACTGTAAATCACAGTATTTGCGTCTACTACAGTTTGTTTCAAACATAGACAGAAAGAGATATAGCCTACAGAAATATCTCTTTCCAGAACTACCCACAAATGCACGCAAGGTCATAATATGAGCATGTCTGGTCATAATTCTTGATATTGAGAGATAGGGCTTACTTCCCTCTAAAAATATGTTCAATGTATAATGTCAACAAATATCACATTACACTTTCAAACTAACAGTCTTTTATACCATCTTAGTTAGAAAAAGTCTTCAAAGACTAATTCAAAATTAAGAATCTTTTGATGATGTACAACTACATTTTGAAGGTACCAGCAAACTTTTCACACTCTGTGGAACAACCTCAGCCCAAAGACAACAGCATATAGACCTACGCTTTCGCATCTCTCACATGAGCATAATTTCCACATCATGCAGAAGCTGTGACATAAACCAAGCAGGTTTGACTTGTCACAGATTTACAATATCATTCAACCTCAAACCACATCCACTCTATTCATGTAAACATGTATATTTTCCATCTGATAGTGATCTTTTGATTTGTTTTTGAGAACTTAGGTTGCATTATTAATTTTTTGACAAAAGAACACTTTGAAAACTTCTGTGTTTCTGCCTCCTTATTCTTCTGAATCCAATTGTGCAGATCTTTCCCTGGAGATTTACATGCACACAAACTTGCCATCCTAAAATCAACAACACACTAATGTTTTTATTCAAGCAGCATACTGTATGCTTCCTACAGAGGGTTAACGCTCCCGCTGAACCGGATATGATTCTTTCTCCGTTTCACTGTTGTCGTTGCACGGCCAATGGCGGGCGGTGCCTGAGCATTTATCTGAAAAACGTACGTTTCGCTCAAATATACTTGAATATCGATCGGCCATTTAAAGCTTTTAGATCGCACGTGTGTTTTGGCCTATCAGCATGGATGTGAATTTGACCATCTCTCTGATGCGGGGCCAGATGGGCGCTGTTATTGAGAAAGCCGTGAACGTCGCAGTGGAGACCGTGTTAGGAGAAATGATCCGGGTGGTCGGGCTCAAATTTGAGGAGATCAAACGGGAGATGACAGCTAAAGAGAAGGAGAATGAGAACATCAAGAGGATGTTGGAGACGTCCCGCTGTCAGATGAAAACTATGCGCAAGTACATCAGCGTCCTGTCTGTTAAAGAGCCCAACCACAGACTGTATCAGGGAGATGGAGACATGGCAACAACATCCACAGGGATGCACTGCAGAAGAGGGCCGATGAGCAATCCCCCAAACCCCTGTCCCTGTCCCAGACCTAGATTCTCTGAGCCAGCCCCTGTAACGTTAGCTGGACCCTCATGGGTGAGACAGCAGATGCACATGTCCAAAGAAACATTAAGACGTGAGAATCACATTCCTGAGGTCAATCTTGAAGAGACCCATGGATCAACAGTTCATAAAGGTATGAAACGCCTCCTTTATAGACATGTATGGGCAATGCGTGTTATTCAGCACTTTTGCATATTCCCATCATGTATGTCTTAATTAAAATATGACATTAGGTAGCAATTCTTTTGCCACAGTATCACAACCAAGTGAACATAAGACTTTTTAAAGGGTCATGAAACCCCCTGTTTCAGCACTGGTTAGTTCTCGCCACAGTTTAAAAAAAAAAATGCTAAAAAAGTGGGCGTGGTGCGCAGCGGAGCGGAGGAGGGGAGACAGACAACACACACAGCTTCAGGTTCAGACAGTTTCATTTCGCTCCCATCGAGTTAAATACACAAATAAATGCACAGCCGTTTGCACTCTGCATCGAAAACATTTATATGAATGCGCTGGGGCACCTCTGAGAACTTTTAAGGCTTATTCTGTGGCGTTTATATAAGCCTTTTGACGGGTTGTGTCACAGAGCTGTAAAACGGTTATGCTCACCAAGTGAATGAATCGCGTTTGTGCCGAACTCTTGTTACAAAGCAAAAACAAACACTCTTCTTCGATCCATGAACGTTTCTCTCAGTTAATGTGCGCGATGTCATCTCACAGTCTGAAACTTCTGTTTGTTGTGAATAATTAAGCGAAACCTCTTCTCATAGGATAAGAACACGCAGTCTCATGAATAATATAATAGACACCGACGTGTCATCGATGTACTATAGTCCATTTCCACGTCACAAATTGTAGCACAATGTAGACAACACAAAAACAACACAATGTAGATTTTAAACCCGGAATTTCATTCATTTGTTTTGAGATCATCTTGCCATGTTTGCCACTAGGATAAAAACATATTACTTAAGAAAGATTCCAGATATTATTTTTTTCGTTATGGTCTTTATATTGTTTTATTTAGTAGCCAGTTTCTTACTCAGTTTTCATTTCCATCCTGTTATCATTCAGCAGGATGTGACAATTTTTGTTGGAGACAACAGTGCAGGCATCTCTAGCTAGGTATTAGCATTAACACTTGATTAGATGTCTTTAAATATGCTTTGTCCTTAAAAAGTCTTAAAATGTCTTAAATAACGTTTTCATAATATAAGGCTTTAAAAAGTCTTAAAATGTCTTAAATTTGGATTCGATGTGTCTTAATTATTTTTGGTCTCATTACCGCTAACATATCTTAAGTCTGACGGACCTAATGACTTTACAATCATTGGACAGAAGGAAGATGTTTTTTTCCCTAAATTGTAATAATTTGACATGTAAGATGATGCATACATCTAAAAAGGTTAAACAAATAGGCCTTCGTAAAGGTAAATATGCAGATTTAAGTATGTAAAAGCTGACAGAACACTGATGAAAATATTGCTTCAGAATAAATTGTTTACTCCACCAAAAATCTCAGTGATGCAGTTATTTTGCAGGGATATTTTGTATGGAATATTGTCTGCTGACATGAAAAGTTCACTGTATATCATAGTAATAAATACCATTTATTACAGCATTGATATTTTGTTTTCTTTTTAATTTATACACATTAAATATTACATATATGTATGTAATAAAATGTGTATTTCCATTACAGGTTTAGGTCTTAAATTTCATATAAGGTGGTATTAAAAAGGTCTTAAAAAGTCTTAAATTTAACGTGTTCAAGTCTGCAGAAACCCTGTGATATGATTGTCAAAATTTAAAAAGACGCAAAAACGCAGTGTCAATGCTTCACTGAGCAGTGGCTAACTTTAGCTCTTTTTTTCCATCCTGTTAAGTTCCATCCTGTTATTGTTCTTGCTGTTGTGTAAATAATCATATTATAATTTTCTAAACTATGGACTACACTTTTATACACTTCAATTTTTGTAGTAATGCCTACTTAAAGTATAACACGCATACTAATTTCTAAGAGCTGCATAACAGGACTGACCAAACAATTCCATTGTCAGTAATGATACAAGCAAATACCACAAGACATACATCACAGACACATTTAAGGAAACATGCACAAATAAACAAATAACCACATGAGCACTAAAAGGCTCTATACATGAAGCAAACCCTTTTATAAACTACTTTTGATTTGTATTATAAATAGATCCTTTTTAAAAATCCTTTTTAAGAAGTTACAACGCTAAAAATGTGCTGCGTAACAGGAATGACTAAAACATTCCATTATTAGTAATTGCAGCTATAGACGGATATATGTTAATTGCTGATCATATATTCTTAGAACTAGTGGTAGGCCAATATGATATCTAAAGCAGAGTTGTCTTATGATGGCACATATCATATGCACAACAGTAATACATTTATATAAACACTTATTTTCAAGTGTCATGACAATTTCTGTTAAATTGTCAAACAGGACGGAAGATAGTTTTAAAGGGAGACAAACAAACTGTTCCTACAAAACCTGTTCCTACAAAGCATAAATTATGCATAATTACATGCAAGTAACCCTAAGCCAAACCCTAATCCTAAACCTAACCATATAGTACGCAGATGTAGTTAATTAATATTACTCAGTACTTAAATGTATAATTACATTGTAACAAGGACACCTAAAAATAAAGTGTAACACTGTAACAAGGACAGCTTAAAATAAAGTGTAACCCCAATTTTCTGCTAATACTAATTAATACTTATTCAACTTTGTACTGCACCAGAAATAATGTCACTTTCCTAATGTTTTCCCTAAACTCAACAGATAGTGACTTTTGTTGTTTCCGTAGTTGAGAACTCAAGCTCTCATCTGGTGGACAGTCAGGCGCTTCTCTCTGAGACCATTGATCCAATCTGGGGTCAGGACCCTCTCGCCTCTGCAGAGACTGGACACACAGACATGCTGGACAGCAACGTCCTCTCTGCACCCATGATGGCAGATGAAAATGTGTCATCCCAAACGACAAGCACATTGACCTTTGGAGCACCATCACTTAAAATCAAACAGGAGGAGGCGGAGGTTGAAATAGTCTGTGTGAAAGATGAACCCACAGAAGCTGGAAGCATACATACATTTGAATATTCCAACGCTGAACTTCACCAGCCAGCGGAAGAACCAGAGCTCGGGGTCTCACTAGATCTACGCGCATCATTTCAAGCTCTTCAGAGTTCAAGCACTTCAGCAGACCTTGCAATCCCAGCATTCATCAGTGTGGACCCAACTACCTGTAAGAATACAATTTAACATTTCTGCACTGCTCTATTTTGGAAATATTATGAACATGTACTGTAGATAGTAATGTCTTTTCTCTGGCTATTAAAGCCATCATATTACAATTATGTCACCAAAACATACATAGGTGTACAAACTTTTTTTTAAG